TTTAGTTTTTTAAATTAAGTTTTTGTTAAATACTATGTTAATGAAAGAGATTATTATTATTTACCATGCTTGAACATGCAAAAAATAAGTTGGTGGGACAAGGGGAGGAAGTGGAATACTGATGATTTTATATAAGATTCTTAGATTATCCTTTTCTCTAGAGCTAGGAGGATGGTGGATCCATTCGAAGACTCTAGAGCCATATTGGTATCAGTTCTTTCATTTCCCAAGTTTTAACACATCAAAGTAATAGTACGTAAGCAAAAAATGTTAGTAATTATTTTCTTTATTTATTTTTTATAAAGCACAAAAGCTACACTGCTCCAATAAAAATTGAAAATCCTTTTAATGTCTGAGCAATTTTGAGAGGATTGACTTAAATGGACAAGATGATTGTTTGGCTGATCTCTCTGAAAAGTATTGAAATGCTATTCATGGCAGGTGAGTAGGATGTGTTTTGAAGGAATTATACATAGAATATAACTCGTTACCTTGAGAATTAGTTTATTGATACTTAAAATATTATTTTGGGAAGAAATATTGAAGTATTTGCTTTGGGTTTAAATTTTTTCTGCTTAATAATAATTTTTTTTCTGCTTAGTAGTTGATGTTATATGTTAAATAGTTATTATAAATATATACTTCAATTTTTAATAACCAGTGGAGGGAGGTTGCCTTTATAGTCTAGAATTTTTAATAATAACATAACTTTTCTTTTTAATTCTTTGTTTGGGGCATATGATTTAAATCTTTTTAGATTTTATTGCTTTATCATTCCAAAGTGAGTAACATATCTTAGCGATTAATGACCACATGTATTAAAATCTCTTCTCAAATTATGTCTCTAATTTTTCTTGTGAATTTGATTATCCTCTGTATCTTTTCATTGATTTGTTTTTGGTCTTCATTAGGTAGACTTATCTAATATAGCTTTGCTGGATAAGCATGGGCAGTCTGATAGTTTTAATGTGAATGATTCCCCACCAGTCCTTGGCTCTGCAGTGTACCACCTACCACCTATATAAACTACATAGAAGCCCTAGGCTAGCCAGTTAGGGTGGCCTGGATTATCCTTTAACTTTTCTGACAGAAATTGAAAAATGTTCTGTAGATAACAGTTTTCCCGTCTATGATCTCATTGAGTTGTTGATTGATTTTACTGGCTTCCTTAAATTGGCTTTACCTTGGCCAAAGCATATCCAGGAGCATCTTCAAAGATGAAGGATTAATTAAGACCACATTCAGCTGATAGTCTCTATAGGAGAACCCAATCTAGCCTACCATGTGGAAACTATGATGGTCTTTTCTTCCTTTCTTTCTTTCTTTCTTTCTTTCTTTCTTTCTTTCTTTCTTTCTTTCTTTCTTTCTTTCTTTCTTTCTTTCTTTCTTTCTTTCTTTCTTTCTTTC